TACTGAAAAACAATGATAAGCATATCATAAGTTTTAAAGGCTTTTATTGGCAAAAATATATATATAATGAGTCAATATTTACAGTGTTGACCCTTGTTCTTCATAACTTCTGCAATTCACTCAGGCATGCTGGATATTAGCTTCTGGGCCAAATCCTGATTGATGGTGATCCGTTCTTGCCTTATTAGTTCTCGGAATTGATCACAATTTGTGGGCTTCTGCTTGTTCTCTCGCCTTTTGAGGACTGACCACGGGTTCTCTATGGGATTGAGATCCGGGGAGTTGCCTGGCCACAGATCCAAAATTTCAGTGTAATGATCTTCGAGCCACTTTTTTATCACTCTTGCTTTGTGACATGGTGCTCCATCATGCTGGAAAATGCACGGATCATCACCAGACTGCTCATGAATCGCTCTTGCAGGACGTTTTGGGCAGAATTATGAGAGAGGCCACTCCCTTGGTTGCTGATGATCCGGTAAATGGTTCTTTCAGGTGCAATATTCTCTGTAGCAATTTCCTTGATTGTGAGGCCATTTTGCAAAGCATTGATGACTGCACTTGTTTCTTTGGAGGTAACCATTGCTAACAAGAACACAATGATTGGAAGCGCTTCTTCCCTCCTTTTATAGCAATCAGTCTGCTCTTACAGTCTATTTAGTATGATAGTGATTAACCTGACTACTCATTCACACTTTCACATGTGCTGCTGATATGATTAGTCAATTAATGTTAGCTGGTCATTTTGTGTCAGGATCAAAAAACAGTGAAATTTGTTTGTTTTTTTTGTGAAAAGTTTTTTTGGCCAATGAAGCTTTTAGCAATTATTTAAAATGCATCTGATCACTCTACACAATAATCTAGAAACAATGTGAATGAACACCACAACAGCTTAAGCAGCAAACTTTGCAAAGCACAAAATGTATGTCACTGCCAAAACTTGGCCATGACTGTATATATACTGTATGTTGGGGTCAGTATGATTTTTAAATGAAATTAATACTTAATTCAGCAGGGATTAAATGTATCTAAAGTGACAGTAAAGACACTTTTACACTGATACAAAAGATTTCCATTTCAAATAAAAGTTGTTGAACTTGAATAATTATGAAAAATGTATCGTGTTTTTTGCAAAAAGTATGAAGTTGTATTCAATATTGATAATAATAATAAATCTTTCTTGAGCAGCAAATTAGCATATTAGAATGATTTCTGAAATATCAGGTGACACTGAAGACCGGAGTAATGGCTGCAAAAAAATAAATAAAAAATCATCATCTTTGTCATCATAGGAATATATTACATTTTAAAATATATTCAAATATAAGTTATTTTATATTGTAATCATATTGTTGTTTTTACTGTATTTGTGATCAAATGAATGCAACTTTGGTAAGCATAAGTGTCTTTTCTCAAAAATATATATATGAAAAAAAAAATCTTACTTCACCTTTAGTGTATTTATGTTTTCTTTTACATTTCTGCTTTGAGTTTTGTTAATTGTTTTATGGTTGTTTCTGTTTCATGAATTGTTTTTACTTTTTTTTTTTTTACTGTGCAAATTTTGCTCTTATAGATTTTTAATGGCAGGTTTCACTGACAACTTGCATCATATGGTGTGACAACATGCCCTGCCATTGGGGGCATCTCAAACATGCAGCAAAGGTAGAGGGATTGTCACTGTTCTTTGACAGTGCTCAGGCATGTAACCTGAAAAGCAAAGGTGAGGTAGGAGTGTGTTTGACAGCTCTTTGTTGTCACTTTTCAACAGATGACAGCTGACAGGTGTGAGATCTATATGAAGTACTCTGCTTCAGCACTGCACTGCTTGTTTTCCAGTGCGCATTATTTGCCAGTGGTGGACGAAGTACACAAATCAAGTAGTACTTCAGTAAAAGTACAGATCCGTATAATAAAATATTTATACTCCAGTAAAAGTACTCAGTTTTCAATTTTACTCGAGTGAAAGTACAAAAGTACTTGATTTTTTATGTACTTAAGTAAAAAGTACCGCAGTTTTATATAGGCTACTTTTATTATTTAATTTTATATTAGCATATATTTTTTTATAACCCTACTGCTCAAAATACCTGGGATTTTCCCAAAATAACCAATGCAAAAGTTACTCAAAATAATCCAGTAAAGGTAAAGTACAGATACTTGAAAAATAAGTACAGTAACGAAGTAAAACTACTTCATTACTGTCCACCACTGTTATTTGCTGAATCCTCAAGAATCTATTCAGAACGTCTAAATACCACACCCTTTCTCCGTGTGCTCTTAAGCTTAAGCAAATGAGCTTTCCTTCAAAACCATCAGAAAAATGTATGTTGTTTGAAATGAACGTTGAAATGGAAGTTTATAAAAAATGGTATTTGAATTTTAAATTTACACATTGTTTCACATTTGACTTGTTTACAATTGACAGAGAGTGCTTGATTTATACCTTTATTGTAGAGGCTTTCTGTGGAATCTTGAAGAAAATAATATTTTTTTTTTCTTTGATGCACATGGTCAGAATACTGAATATATTGAATAAAAAATATTAATAAACACTCATATGATAAAAAACATTTCTTAATTTTGTACATTAAACAGACCTGAGTTAATCTCATGTTGTGTTCTAATCATTCTGACCCAAAAATTATAAAAAAAAAAAAATGCTAGTTAATGTTATTGTCACGCCCCTGGACTCATTGTGTTGTGTTTTCCCTCCCCAGGTGTGCCGTGTTCCCTTTAATTAGTCATTCCTTGCACCTGTGTTTTCCCAATCACCCAGTGTTTAAAAACCCTAGTCCTTTCAGCTGGTTTTTGTTGGAGATTGAACGTCAACCCCTGTGTTTCCTGTGTTCCCAGCTGCCAAGTGTTACTTCTATTCTGAATTAGAAGACTATTGTTGTTCGTGTACTCCTGTTCTCCTCGTTCCTCGCTCCGCTCTGTAGGCTAAAGTGTGACAGAATCTCCGACCAATACAATTACCTCCGTTTGTCTACCCTTCGTTTTGTTTCCGGGTTTTACTCAGTTTTTTTGTTTCCGTAGTGTTTTCCCATGGATCCCTTCACTCGCCCCGAATTCCTCCTCCTCCTGCTGGAGCAGGGAGACAAAGCTCTCGAGGACCATACCAAACTGTTCCTATTGGTCGCTAACATCACCAGCTATCCGGACGACGCGCCCTGCTCTTTCTATGACGCAAGCCTGAACACCGAGTGCAGAGCACTGTCGTCCGAAG